GAATATATGTATATATATATATATGTTTATACAATAAATACATAATTTATGTATATTTATTGTCCAATAGGTACTTCAAAATATATACAAAGAATTGTATTGGCCTTGCACTACGATTGTCGCCAATGATATTTTTCAACGGTTCGGGATAATCATTGTTAACACAATACAGAGCACCACTACAGAAAAGGAACATTGCGTATGGCTTCTGAACGGGCGAATGACGCACATCAATAGCTATTTCAACCAACGTAAATTAACTTTAATCTCAGCTTGACTTACTTTTTATCTGCTTCTAGTTTCTACAAATTATGCCCGTTTCTAACAACACAGTGTAGATTAACTTTACCTTCAATTCAACTTACTTCTTCATCCTTTTCCAATTCCTAGAACTAGTAATTCCTAGAACTAGTAATTCCTAGAAAAAGTTAGTTGAACCGAGATTAAAATTAAACTACATTAGCAGAAACGGGTGTCGGAAAAAAAAGAAAGGAAAAAAAAAAAAAAAGATGAAAAGTAGAACTGAGAGATTATAGTTAATCTACATTGACAGAAACAGACATTAGTCACGTCGAGACGGCGTTGAGTTCGCCAGCGATATTTAATAAACGATCTCGAGATACCGACGCGATGTAGAACAGTGCGGGAAAGGAACATCTCGCGTGCGCGTTTCGAAACGCGGTGGTGAAGCGAGTCGAGCGGGACGCGGGCCGCGTTGGCGGCCATAAGTAAGTCTTCCACGTAGGTCCGTCCGCGAGCGTCGATACAGCGGTGAGGGCGAAGCTATCGCGCAGCGCCGACAACGCAGCGTATTTACAAACACGGCCATGTAAGGCGAGTTCTCGCCTAATTGTGTTTACATACATACATACACGCACGCACGCACGCACACTTTCCCGTCGCCGTCGTCTCCTGAGACTCCCACGCGGCCGAGCGAACGAAACGCGTTTTCACAGGATACCCCTTTTTATCGATTTCCTTCTTCAACGTGAATTCTTATCCACTTTCGAGACACTTTCCGTTCCCGAATCACAAAAGAAACGGCCCTACCTAGAATCTCCTATTCCTTCCATTAAAAGAAGCTTAAAGGAAAGGACCAGGTCGAAAACGACCCTGGCGGGATAAAGCGGCATTGTTCGCGACGCGAGAACGTAGAAACGTTCATAAAAGTTTTCCCCAAACGTCGCCGTTGGACGGCTCACAGTTCCAGAGGGTCGTACATCGGCGGTAACGGCTCGTCCTCGGAATCGTAGAAGTACGGTTTCCTGCGGTATCCGCCACCGGACTGCCGCACGTCGTCCTCATCGTTCACCACGTCGTCTTCGTCCACTTTCGAGCTCGAGAGCTCGTCGAGGTTCTCCTGCAGCCTCTTCACCGCCTCCTTGATGAGGCCGCCTTCGCGCAGCAGTTCCTGAAGTACCTCGTACGGATCATCGTCCACCCTCCTCTCGCTCCTCTTCAGATGATTGTGATAATGGTGGTGATGGTGGTGGTGGTGGTGGTGGTGGTGGTGGTGATGATGATGAGGATGATGAGCAGCAGTCACGTGATGCTGTTGCTGCGATTGTTGTTGTTGCTGGCCGTTAGACCGCAGACCGCAGACCTCGCAGCCGGCGGCCGGATCCGCCCAGGAACGTGCCGGCACCCGGTACGGCGACGGCCGATTGTTCTTGCAGCTGATGCTGGACTTGGCCTTCAGACCGGACAGTCGTAGGTTCTCCTTGATCTGCGACACCAGGAGGTCGACGTCGCGCGTCAGGAACGCGTCCGCCTGCGCCGCGCCGTCCGGCATCACGCCGATCAGATACGTCGTCTCCTCGGCACTCGGCATCCTCGAACTCTCCGCCTCGTGCTCTCGATGCTGACACGCGGAACACGTAACAACAACCACGACTACGACGTGTAGTAAACAGACTGTACAACGGGGACCCGACGGTTTCACTCAAAGCTCTATGTGTCGTCCCCTCTTCTTCTAATGTACAAGATCTCTCTCTCTCTCTCTCTCTCTCGCTCTCTCTTCGAGCCGACAACAGTTTTCCCACTCTGTTTCCTTCTTTCGATGTTTACCTGGGTCGACGAGGTCCCATGCAAACAATAAACAGCCTGAGGTAAGGAGAAAAGAGAGAGAACGCTGCACTATTTTCTTTCAGTAAAACCAAACTTCCTTTTCTCGTACCAGGAAAACCTCAGCGGGAAGACTTGAGAATTCCTTTTTCCACGAAGAAATACGGGCTGTCCTCCGATTAGTGACTCGCTCTCTGAATCGCTGAGTTGTCGCCGAGAGACACGTCAACAATAATACACAGTGGCGATGTGTATATGTGTGTGCATATATATATATATACAGATATATACACATATATATAAAGCACGACGGAGTATCCGCGTACAGGCGCGTCCGTGCGTAATCGGACGGGTATGATTCACTAGGCAAATACGCGGGTCGACGCGATATATCCTCTCCTCGTTCGCTTTCTCGAAACGTCGTCGGCGGAACGCGGCACGACGAGGAGTCGCGCGCGTCGAAGCGCGGCTGGCTGTTGAATGAACTGCCCCGCGCGCGAGTACGAGCGTGCGGCTAATCTACGCGCATAAACAAACGCACACCAGCGCACCGCGCAGCAGCAGCTGTACGTATACACGCACAGAGCTCTCCTCTCCACTACCCGCTACACAGCGCTACACCAGCCGCACATTGTTTTGCTTCCAGGCCGATCGAACGTATACAGTGTCTGCATTCGACTCTGTCTCTCTCTCTCTCTCTCTTTCTTACGCTCGCTCGCTCGCTCTCCGAGGATCAGTGCGAGGTGGGTTGCACAACGCGCGCATACGCTCGTTACACGCACCTACTCAGCTCCGATGAGGTAACGCACTGAGCGGGTGGGAGAGAAAGAGGAGGAACGGAACACGGTGAGAGCGAGTGATTATTTTGGCCCGACGGGAAGATGGTAATCTCGCGCGGCGCTCCCGCTTTCGAATCGGATACACCAGACGGACGATTCCTTTTCTTCTATCTCTCTCGTGATTCTCTTCTATTTATAGTCTCTTATTATCTTTTTTTTTTTTTTGTTTTTTTGTTTTATTCTGAGGTAGTCCCGATTCCACGGCTCGTTATTCCACTTGCGATCCACTTGTTACTCAATGACGCGACTCTCGCGGTTCTTTCTTTTTTACACAGTCTCGTTTTAAATGTCAACTCAGACGTCAGTCGGAATTTATTTTCACCGTCGTTTTTCCGACTTCGAGGTAGTCCCGGTATATACTTCGCTGTCCTCGGTCCTCCAGGGTTTCAAGGGCCTCCCACACGTACAACTCGCTCACCGCGGGAATCACGACGAATTGTCGGCGCACGAACTTTACGTCGCGCGACGCGTTAGAAAACGTCCGGTGCGCCTGCTCCTTTGTTTATCTGGCGTGACTTCACCGCGCGACAACGTCGACGGGTCGTTCGCGATCACTTGGCGCGCGGAGCGAAGCAGCGCCAGCGAGCAGAATTCAGCGAGCACCAAACGAGCACGGAGAGCGAAGAGCGAGCGGCCGCCCGTACGTCCGCCAGCCATGAACCTTCTACTCTGTTATTATTGTTTTGGTCGGGCGGCGCATGCGCCCCGTCGCCTGCCTTCCCCGCCGGTCGCCCCCCTGCCCAACCCGGCTCCCGGCACCCCTCCGGCCCCGCGCTCGCCGGCTCGTGTAAACAAACCGTTAACTCACGGGTGCCCGGCGAATCGATAGTACTCCTCGCTTTGCCACTTCCCCGTTCCGTATTCTCTCTCTCACGCTTCCCTCCCTCCCACCCTCCCGCCAGCTCGCTAAGAAAGCAAGCACGGAGCGCTTGCCGATCGCAAAAATGCCTTTGTCACATACTCGAGGAATGCGACGATACGACACCTCCGAGACGGGCGTTTCATAATTCATAATCGTGACGTTTGCTTATAAACCTTTTGCATTTGTATATTCGGAACTCTTTCAGAAGCGTGGTGATTTTGAACGAAATTTGAGATAAAGAGGGCGGAGGGGGCGGGAAGCGAAGAGAAGGACAAAAGGGCAACACGTCGATGAGGAAACAGGAGAGGAAGGGAGAAGTGAGGGTGGAAGGGAGAAGTGAGGGTGGGAGGAAGGGACGAGGGGGGACATCGATGCGCGCGGATCAAGGTTACACTCGGGCACCTCCTCTACGTCATCCCTCGTCGTGTTTATACGCGCGTGCGCTCAGCGCGCACGCACACACACACACACACACACACACGCTTGTCCTTGGGACGAATCATTCATTATCGCGTCCATGTAATGCTCCGCGCGGATTATGTCCACAAAAATTCAGCAATCGGGTTTCCTCTAATAACTTAAACGAATTAAAACGGCCATGAGCGTATCCAAGATTTGACAGGAGGGGGGGGGGACAAAAATTTATCTTCACACAAAATTGATTACAATATTTATATTAAATCAACTTTCAAGGCTCTTCAGTGAATTTTATTATGAATAATGTATAAGTCAAATTGAGCATTGGATGTTCCATCTTTAGTAGTAAAAATTCATGATTTATTTTTATCAAAAATGAGGGGGGGGGGAATGAAGGGAATGAGTAACTTGGTATTTTACCGAATATATTTACAATGTACTATGTTTTAATTATTTTGATTTTTTAAAAATACAAAAATAAACTTGAAATATCGAATACCTACTTTCCTGTCTCCCTATATAATTGGTTTGTAAATTGTTTAATTTACTGATTCAGTTTACTTTCTATGGTATCTCTAAAGTGAAATTCATTCGCTTTTTGTTTTGCTTCCTCGTATCTCAATCTTAATGTATCGGGTTCTGTCAAAAATCTCTGCCATAAAATGTCCTTTTCGCGTTCTAGATTAGCGTCCATCCTCTGCAATACGGGAATTATTAGCAAATGTTATATGTTTTCACGAATTATTAATATGTTTGTAGCGCTATACCATTCGTTCTTTGAACTGATTCCTAATTTTTATTATATCTCCTTGCACCTGTTGAACGATTGTGGACATTTCCTCGCACTTGGAGCTTATTTCATATGAAGTTGGCCTAAAGCTAATTGTCGGTCCATTTTGCGTCTCAGCTATGTAATCCTTGTTAATTTCATTCTCTCTAAATCCATAGAAATATACATTAAACATACTCATAGAAAAATAATGTATCATCGATACATGAAATTATTAATGGTAAATTATTAACTTACAATTTTTGTAATTTGTCGATTTTATTATTTGGATATGTTTCCAGTATTAATTTCTTCTTCTTCGCGTTGTCAGCTATTAAGTCGTCGTATCTTTTCAACGCAGTAGATAACGACGATTCATCCGAGATATTGTCACCAAGTACCATAGACATAAATATTTGATTAAACGCATTGTACGTTTCCGGAGATTGCGTTATAAGTGTCGCATATTCGTCCTGTTCTTGTTGCATGACCTCCTGCACATTTCATTATGTTTCTATGAGTAGTGCAAATTATTATTTTTATTAAAATAATACCGAATTGAGAGAGAAATGCATTGATACCAACACATCTTGCAGAAGAAAGCTTATATTCCGTAATAATATAATGACGAGCGTCAGCGATGAATTCAGCGACTTCGTGCAGGCGACGGAATTGCATTTCCATTAATAAATATAGCAGATCTACGTAAACATGTCCATGCTTTCCTGCGAGAAAATATAAATTCTTGAGCTTCTCGAGACGGGCTTTCCTCCGTTCGACACGGGCAAGTGCGTCGTTCTTCAAGATCTTTATAGTCTCCATTTCAGCATATTGCACTACTACTTCTGGTAATTGTTGATCTCGCAAAAGCTCAATATTCTGTTCCAAAATGTCTCTCTTTATGGTTAACGTTTGCATTTCATCGCTATTTATAAATAAAATGTTATGATTTAATATATAAAACATTATTTACTTTATTCTATATTCAAGCCATATACAGGGTATCTGTTAAGGTCGGAGCCGCATTGGGAGCGTAGAATGGATCAAGGAAAACAAAAAAGTTTTATACCATTTTGCAATTTTCGCAATAGTTAA